GCCATCTCCGTTATTACATGGGATCATTCTGGAGTGTGACTCCACCTTTTCTATGAAGTTGAATGAGAAGCAGCCTGGAAACTCCTGCCCAAGTCTCATTATGGAAAGTTTTCGTTACATGAAACAATGGTTATTTTTTAGTAATGTAGCTGTGTTTTAATTTCAAATAGTGGGGGAAAACATCACTAAGAGACAATAGCTCAGGCTATTTTAATATTTTTTATTAAGGGCTATAAAAATATCCAGAAAGATAAATAAACGTAATGCAATGATATATGTCCTAATATGAAGAACTTTCTTTCACTGCATTGTTTTCCTTCACAATGGCCTTCAAATCACAGGAGGCAGTGATTCCATGTCATTTCCTCTTCTTTTATTACATGATGCAGAATTTCTGAATCAGTATCCCGCCCTCAGTCTTCTCATTTATAAATCAAATTCGTTTTCAATCCATTGTCTAGAGGGAGCGTATTTTTTTCTGTTCCACGAAGAGGACTTTTGTTTTCACTATAGGAGGAGGAAAAAGGATTATGGCAGAAAACTAAAAAGTATCATCACCATTTTCTAATAAAAATACATATCAGACCATGAGCTTTCCCCTTTCTCTTAGTTTACTCTCCTTTGACATGAGAATAGAGCTGACTTGCAAAAGTCAGTTCCTCAATCCCAGAGGCCATAGAAGACTGGAGAAAATGGTAAGGTCCACCAGGCGATAAGTAGCACCGTTGGTAGCCTACAAGGTCACATTTCAACCAATGTGAAATATTCAAATTACAAAAGAAAATCATGGGCAAAAGATGGAAAACACTCAATGTCTTCACCCAGTTATCATCCATTCTTGTAGGAGGTAAGCAAGGACAGACTGGAGCTGGACTCCAGAAAAAGAACTGAACAGACCACAGAAGAAATAACAGCTGAAAGAGTAAATACACATTAAACCTTGTACTTTCCAGAGATGGTTTCGTACACTCAAATACAGATTTTCCAGTTTGGTAATAGAATTAACATTATAACCACAATTTCATTATTATAAACATAAGAGAGTTCAGTTCTCTGAAACAGAACCAGACAACTGCTCAATTAAAGATCGGAGACTAGACGCCAGGCAATAAGGTTTTCACAGTTCCTATATGCCCTATAGTACGCTGTTAACTTCACACCTGTCTCTCTCCCTCTCTCCACTCCCTTCTCTTCCTCCCTCGCCCACCCCACCCCCATACACCACCTAACTCTTCTTTGCCCAAAAAACAATGCACTCAGGAAGATCCAGAAACTCAAATGACTATGACAATAATAACTCTTCCCTACCATACAAAGAGATTTCAGCTTTTTCTTCTTCTATAATCAGTATTTTTACTCTGTATATGAGATTCCCAAACTGTCCATGATTAAGAATTGACTAGGGAGCTAACTAAAATAAATTCCTGCTTCTTACCTCCACCCCTACCCTAATTCTAGTTCAACAGATCTAGAGTGAGACTGGAAGTCTACATAGTTGGATTTAAGAACCATTAACCAGTCAACAGAATTTATCTATAGTAATAAAAATAAAATATACATATTACATCGAGATATTTTTAATATACTTCAAATCATCTAATATTAAAAATAAGTACGATTGATGCTCTTTCAAAGTCCAAGGAGGACTATAAAGCATTATTAAATGGTAGTAAAAAACCAATATTGTTCATTGCAAAAAACATTTCCCCTATATTTTTCTAAATAGAACTGAAAAGATGGATTAAAAAAAGGAAGTTGTCTCAGTGGTAACCAATGAGGAGATTATTTAAATGACCCTGAACAGGAATAACTGACAAAGGTTAGTAATGCAAGGCTTCATTTATGAAAATATTTTGATTCACTCACTGCATTCATTCCCTCAATTCAAAGAATATTTAAGTCCACAGAACTGTTCCAGGAAATGTGGAGCTTACGAAAGTGTAAGAAGGGTCCTTGGGCATCTGGTGTAGAGCAATGGTGGCAAGAGGGAGGAATGACAGTGGGGCTTCATGGCTTTGAATGCTAGGCTGACCACAAGGGAAGGTCCTGAGTAAGAAAAAATAGTGGGAAGATTAATTTGACTCTATGTAATAGAAAGAATAGGGGACCTGGAGTAAGAAAGGTTGGATTCGCCATTTATCTGCTCCGAGTCTTTGGGCAAATTTCTCAAAATACCCTACCTTCAGTTTCTTTCCCTGTGAGAGGGGAACTCCATCTTCTTCACAGGGTTTTTGCCAGATACACAGGGAACACTCAATACGTGCTAGTTGAGATGAAACGACACACTGCTATCCACAATCATAAACATAAATTAATTTTGTCAAAATATTTGCTGCTTAATTCATAGAAGAATGAATCTGTCAAGTTCTTTCTCCCTACATCCAACCTAAATCTATTCTGCTTTAATTAAAGTCTATATTGTCTTGTTTAGTCATCCAAGGAATTAAAACTGACAAGTTTTTATTTTCTTTATGATTAAACCTTCATATATTTAACAAAGTTTAAAAAGCTTATGCCTCAGCCTTTAATCCTTCTTCCTCAGAAATTCCCATCTAGTTTTATATGAGAAAAAGGAGTTTGGAAGGAGAAAGGCTGGTTCTAGCCATAAAGTATACCATGAAATGCTCAAATAATTGGGAATTTTTATGTTTCCTTACCTGATTTCTTTCATAAAACAAACTAACATAACAAAACACTACCCTTAAACTAACCATTTACTCATTGCAGTAAAATTTGCTGAGAGAACTGCAAGCTATTTGGTACCCTAAGCAATGGGCAGGCCCCAAGGCAAACAACAGCACGCAAGCCTGCAGAGCATCCAGTAAGAGGGCAGAAAGCCAAGCAGTGTGCTTGTCCCAGAACATTCTCTTCTTCAGAAAAGACAAAGTTGTGCTGTCAAGGCTCAGACCATTCCTCATCAGGAAAGTTCTAATCGTCTATTTAAAATTTGTACTCTTTTCTCTCACTTTCTGCTTATAGTCACAACTGTTTATGGCTGTATCATTCCCCAACCTCAAAACTTAAAATCAATCTAACAAATAACTAGTTCCTAATACAGATTCTCCTTGATATCCATGGAGAACTGGCTCCAGGACACCATGACGCCACCACCCACAATCCCACCACCCCATCAGCCCACGGATACCAAATTCACAGATGCTCAAGTCTCTTATATAAAATGGCATAGTATTTGCATATAACATACACACATCCCACCCATATACTTTAAATCATCTCTGGATTACTTATAATACCTAATACAATGTAAATGCTATGCAAATAGCTGTTATACTGTATTGTTTAAGGAATAATGACAGGAAAAAGTATGTACACGTTCAGTAACAGACACAATCATCACAGGCCTAACTACAAAGTACATGTCAGCAAAGATGTAATCTTTTTTTTCAAATATTTTCAATCCAAAGTTGGTTGAATCTACAGATATGGAACCCACAGATACAAAGGGCCAACTGTACCTACATACTAAATATAAAAATTCCAATACATTTTCATATTTAAAATATCATAGAGGTTATTCAATCAACATTATGTACAAGTTCCTAAAAAAACTCTAAAGGAGCTAAAAATGCTAAAAAAAAAAAAAATAGGCATACCTCATTTTATTGCACATTACTTTACTATACTTCGCAGTAATCGTATTTTTACAAATTGAAGGTAACACTCTCCACCAGCAAAAAGACTGGATTCCCTGAATGTTCAGATGATGGGTAGCATTTTTTTAGCAATAAAGCAGTTTAAATTAAGGTATGTACATTGTGTTTTTTAGACATAATGCTACTGTAAACTCAACATACTATAGTATAGTATAAACATAACTTTTACATGCACTGAGAAACCAAAACATTTGTGTGATTCGCCTTATTACAATATCCACTTTATTTCAGTGGTCTAGAACCAAACCACAGTATATCTGAGATATCCGTATTTGTAAGGTTCACCACTTCAAGTTTTCACCAACTGATACAAAGAAATGAGAATAACACCACACGAATCCAATATTATATTGCTACGGTCTGAATGCGTGTGTCTCCATCACCCAAAATTCATATGTTGAAATCCCAATCCCCAAAGATGATGGTATTCGGAGGTGGATCTTCTGGGAGGTGCTATGGTAATGAGGGTAGAGCCTTCATGAATGGGATTAATACTCTTATTAAAGAAACTCCACTGAGCTTGCTTGCCCTTCCACCAGTAAGGACACTACAAGAAGGCACAGGCTATCAAGCAGGAAGAGGGTCCTTTGAAATTTTTCAATAACAGTCCCTATATAGAGTGGTTCAGGACCCAGGCTTTGGAGTCAGACAGTCCAGAGTTCGAATCTTTATTTTGTTACATATTTTGGCTGTCTGTCCTTAAGATCCTTAGCATCGGATTCCTCATCTATAGAATGGGATTCAGATTGCCTGGAGAGCACCAGTGCTTGTGTCATAATGGATTCATAGCATCTGAAGACATGAAGACTGTGTAGGAAAGCAAAGACAATTTTCCATTTTGTCTGGGTATTCACAAGCACTAGTTTGCTTCCTTTCTCTCGGGGATCCTTGTCTTCTGTTGCCTATATTTTCCTTTTTTAGTCGTCGTTTCAGGTAGGAAGGTAAATTCAGCCCTTATTACTCCATCTTGGCCAGAAGTGAGAGTCTACGAGCTCTTGCTTTTAGTTCATGAAAATGTTGATTATGAGTTTAAGTGCCTGTCTTTCATTATATAATGGATTAATTTGGGGAAATATGATCCTGGTACCAAATCCAATTCTGATCACCAAGTGGATGTCTTACAATTCAACTCAATTCTGACACTATCTACCTGGAGATCGTAACTCAGGAACAGCAGGTGGATATGATGCACGGGCAACATATGGGGAAAAGGAGCAGAGCTTCTATTCCCTCTCTGAGCATGCCACTCTCCCGCATTCCCCACCCCAGAAGCTCCAGTACAGTCCTTACTAAGAAGCAATTATAAAGGGACTATTTAAAAGCAAGGGCAGAAAATAAAAAGAATGGCCCAAAGTTTTAAAATAAATAATTTGTTAGTTTATTCTGCATAAATCTGCTTAAGAAATCCAAAAACAGGCTAAATTTCCACCAAGAGCAATCGGGTGCTGGCCTATTATTTGTGAGCAGGCAATCTGGCCTTGGGAACACTTCTATCTCCTGAGACCACTTAAAGTTACCATTTATTATGATATTTTAGCAGATGATAGAAAATAGAAAATGAAATTTGCTACCCGCTGCACTAATATATAGACACCATAATTCTCTGACTCAAATCTGGACCTAATTACTTGCCACTGACAGATGATCCCAGGAGAACGTTCTCTCCCCCTCTCGAAACACTCCTCTGTTTCCAGAACACAAGATCACCTATTCTTTTTACATGGCTGGTTTCTCACCTTCAGGTCTTTGGTTATCTATCTCCTACTAGAAGACTTTCCCTGATCTACCCTATCTAAAGGACAAGATACAGTTGAAATACACCTCCCCCCAACTTTATCCTATATCTCAGCATCCTGCTCATGGCACGTACCATAATTTGTCACTTTTTTTCTCTCCCTTCCAAATCAGACTCTAAGTGCCAAGAGTGCAGGGCCTGGGCCTGTCTTATGTCTTGGTATATCCCAGAACCCGGCATAGTAAGTGGCACCACGGTAAACATTCAGTACATACTTGCTGAATGAATGTCACAGTGTCAAAAGGGCCATAAAACTGCCAGATATTCAGCATCAGTCTGGAAAGCATTTGAATTTATTGTGGAATAACCTCTCTGAATCTTACCCACTGGATCGTAATGCAGTAGAGTCAGTTTCTCCCGCAGTCGGCTTCTCTTAGTGTTAAAGGAGTAACCTGTCCCGGCTTGGCTTATCATTTTCACCAGAATATTCCTAGGATTTAAAACTAAGCTGTTACAAACTGAAAAAAATAAACTAAAATCAGTCATGAGGGGATGGCACATTATGAGAGCCCTGTACAGCAGTATTAGTTGTGGGACATCACTTGGCGCAAGAAGGTTCAGTTCTAAGACAGCCTACATCTTCCATAAATCACAATTTCAGCGGTTTTGATCCCAAGGTTTGTTCCATTAGAGTGCCTTGGTAATGACCTAACCAATGACCTAACAAGAACAATCAAACCACGTTGTGGGAAGACTCAAGACACCTACCTCTCAGAAGGAACAGAAGTCAGGAGGGGGGAAAATAAAAAAGTTATTAGTAACTATAAGTAGCCGGTCAGGAAATCATAAAGATGGCTGTCTCATAAGAGCCTTATCTTCCAGGGATGAGTGAGGATTAAGAGTAAAATCAGGAAGGGACGAAATTAAGAGATTGGAATTTTTACATTGCTAACATGCAAAACCTTATTCCTATTCCTATTTTAAGTTATAGTCCTTTAATGCATAAAGTTCATGTTTTGTCTCACGGGACCTTCTCATACCTTCTACTATTACTTTTTCATGTGTCTTGCCTCTGTATGTGGACCATGCTATTTTATTCTCATCTAATTCCAAAAAGAATTTGAAGCATGTAAGATATATTATATACATCTTTGCATCCCTTTCAGTGTCCAGCACAGTAACTCATACATAAAAGAGACATACAATATTTGTTAAGAGACAATAATTAGTCATCCACTCAAAAAGATTTAACGAAAATCTATTAAGTGTTTACTCTGTGGAAAGCAAGATGGAAAATGCAAAACTCTACTAAGGCTGTATCTGCGCTGTCAAGGAACTAACAGTATAGCACAGAAAGTGAGCTATGTACCGAAGGTCTATAAGGCAAAACATAAATGACAAATGTCACAAGAACGATACAAAGAATATGAGCGGCAGGAAGTAGCTCTAAAGAAATCAAAAACATGAGAGATTCCCACAGAACCTAGAGGTGGGAAATTCTAACATAAATAACTGGACAGTGAGAAAAGCTATATGAATCAATAAAAGATTGGGGGATACCAATATACATGTTTTCATTAACTTGAATCCAAAAAACCTAGTTTGAAAGATTTGTGATGGGTCTTGGGTTGTAAGCAAAGTCTGCTGTAGAATTTTCCTATTTTTCACACACACACACATCTTACTTCAGTTACTGTCTATAAAATTTAAGATACTAGTTTGGTATTCATAATCTCTCTCATACATCATGGATTCTTTAATCTTTGCTATTTTTGAAATGCCAATACCATGAATGCAAAGGATTACAAAACTCATTAAAATAGGCTCTACGGTTCAATCAAATCTCAGCTTGTTCTGCTAGATTGCTGTAGTGGGCTCCAGACAAATGGCTCTTGGTCTGGAAAAAGAAATAAGGTGATAGTCCAAGGAGAGTACAGGGACCTTGATGGCTTCTTTAGGAACAAGACAGCAAAAGCTCCTTAAGTAAATTACTTGAACGCTAACTTAAGTAGGTCAGTTGGGCAGAAGGAAAAATATTCTTTGAAAAGGGTTTCTAGGGCCAAAATAATTCATCAAGTAAGTAGTCCTCAAACCAACTTGTAGAAAGTCAAGGCCAAATGCTTAGTTTAACATAAGGACGTACTAGCAGCACCTAGACTAAGGAATCTAGCATAAACAAGTTTTAAAAAAGAAAAACTTTTACTTACTTTGACTTGCTCTTGGCAACTTTTTTGTAGCAAGGAAAGGTTGGAAGAGAAAAGAAAAATATCAATGTTATTATCTTACGCAAAGTTCGTATGTCATTAATAACCAAAAATATATACGTCATGAAGTATATATACCATGGACTGTCGCTTAATTAACTATTCCCCAGCTATTAAATATCTCCTAAGGGTTTTATAGAAGCTAAAAAGATCCAATGAGACCCAACACAATTCTGGACGTAAAGCTTTGCGCAATCTCTTTTCAGATGGACTGGTTACCTTTCAAATCTTTCTAGAGTATTATCTGCTCCACTCATTACCCGTCTAAGGTGCAAATATTTGCACTGGTACGAGTCTCGTTTGACAGGTTAACCTATGCAAACCGCAACAACCATCACGTCCGGTGGAGGAAGGAAACTAAATCTAAGTGGGAACGCAGCCTAGTGCAGGGAAGAGCACTGTCTTGGGAGTCAGAGCACTTTTCACAGCCCAGCTGTTTGACCTAACGTAAATCACTGCCCCTTCTCGGAAGCCGTTTCCTTATCTTTAGAGTCCTATACCAGTGGACTAGAAGTTCTGAGGTTTTTCCCAGTTCGAACGTCCAGTGACTCTGCTGACACATCCCTACCGAGGGCGAGGGAAGCGCCCCACTCTGCTGACCACACTCGACAGTCCCTGCGATCCACAACCGAATCCCGAACTATTTCCGCAGACCCCCAAGATCCACTCGCCCCGCAGCGACGCGTGCCGCGGGGCATGCCGGACGCTGTAGTCCTGAAGGCCTGGGAAGGCCGCTGCGGCAGCTTCCCGGCCGGCGCGGGAACCTTGCCCTGCATCGTCCCGGGGCCTGCCTGTCACGGCCTCCACCCATCGCCGCAGGCCCTGCCGCCGCCTCCAACCCCACTCACGGGAGACCGCGGACAGCAACATGGCAACACCCCTGCAGTCTCCGTAACAGGCCCAAAGTAACCGCAACAAACAACTGCTTCCGGGGCACAGGCCTATTCCGGAAGAGGACGTCCGGGAGCGGCCCGCAGCCACGCCCCTCCAGTGTAAACCTCCAGTCCTAACTCCGCTTCTTATCTGGGTTCTTTACACGTTAGGTGTTTTGTTTTCGAAGTGGAAATAGTGGCGTCCACTTTCCTTTGGGAGAGAGGCCTTGTCGGTGCTGAGGATTCGCGCCCTAGGCACTGACTCCTACTTCTGGTTCATAGTTAGGTGCTTCACTAAATAATCGCAACCACCTACATTAAAGCCACAGGACCTGTGTGTGTTCCTCAGCCGCTCCAGGCTATCAGGCTCCTGCATGTTACCTTAAAATGGTGCCTTCTTCTGCTTCCCCTGACCCAACTCCATCTCCACCTGGTTAAGATCTAATATCAGTCCCTTCAGAGTTAGGAACCCCATTCGAATATCCCTATTTTCTTCATTAAATGTTGGGTTTCTAGAAGAGCAGAACGTTGTGCACCTAGTTTACTGCGGTATCTAAGCATCTAGCACAGTGCAGGGCAATATGCAACGAATAACAGAGATTGAGAGCTCTCGCACGCCTTACTTAATGTTCCCAAACTAGTAAGTGGCAGAGAACCCAGATCTTTTCTGACTGCACAAACTCATGCCTTTCCCGCTAGACTTTGGGACCTACCACTTCGCCATCTTCAATTCTTCAAATCTCTGCAAGGAACCTCGGGATCCTTCATCAGGGACTTCATTGGTAGCCTCTTTCCCAACTAATAATCAGGACTTTTAGATTTTTTCCAATCTGTGATTTTATCAATACGTTAAATTTTACAAACATGTACAATAAGATTCTTATGGATTATCCTCACTGAAAGTAATAAAGAGAAAAATTTTAAATTAGGACTATCCTTGTCCTTAGTACCTCTAATTTTTCCTCCCTCTAATAATTTATCTTCGCCTTACCATAACCTGACTCCAGCACGGAGTCACTCTGTAGATACCCAAATCCTTCCTTATCTCACGCAGTTCAACTGCTGGCAAACGAGAGCTTCAGGTATTCAAGAGGGTAAGATTTCTTATCTAAGAAATTCCTTTAGAGGACTTATAAGAAAAGAACACAGGACTGGAGGCCTAGGAACATGAATCTAGTCTTTGTTCTGCTCCTTGGAAAGTGATTTCGACTCTTTAGACCTCAGTTTCGTTCTCAATGTGAGCATTGGATCAGCATTGGTTTCATCCCTGAGGGTGCATCAGTCACCTGTGGTCCTTTAAAAGACCCAGATGCCAAGGGCGGGGCTGAGAGTCCATACAGTATGTCCCAATTGTCTATAAAGAATCATTTTAAATAAAACAAAAAGTTGAAAGGGGATTGTACAGTAAACAAACCATATATCTAATTCAACACATGTTAACATTCTGTATGTAATTGATGTATAGTGAATTTAAATATATATAAATGTAATATATAGTTAGTCTTTTTTGCTAAGCTGTGTGAAAATAAATTGCAAACATAACAACCTTTCACCTTTAAATATTTAAGTATGTATCTCTCAAAAATAAGATCATTATAACTGCACTATGTACTATTTTCATTCCTTAAAAAATATTTTCCTAATATCTACACTATATTCAAATCGTCTTTTATAGCTGGTTTCTTCAAAAGCAGTATCCAGTCAAGGTTCATATATTACCTTTGTTGTTAAAAATCTTTAATCTCTTTCAAATCTAAAACAAAAGCCCTCACTTATTTTTTTAAGCGACACTGAATTTTTAAAGAGACTGAGCTAATTTCTTATGGAGTGTCCCACATTCTGGATTTGTCTGATTGTTTTCTTACGGTGTTGTTTTGCTTATTCTCCCATAAATTGGAAGGCAAATCTAAAGGCTTGAGTAGATTCTACTTAAAACATTTTTGACAAGAAGACATCATAGGTGATGCTCTCAACTTCATACTGCTCCATATCAGGAGGTCCAGAATGTCAGGATGTCCTATTGTTAGTGCTAAATTGGATGACCTCTAGATCGCTCCACTGTAAAATTAGATTTTTTTTCTTTTTGCAGTTTCATGTGGGGTAATACTTTGACATATGAAAATATCTTGTTCCCCAACTACCTTTCCTCATGGTTAGCATCCATCGATGATTTTTTTAGACTCAGTAATTACATTTGCTGTACACAATGGCTCTTTTCTAACTTATATCATTCCTGTTTCATTTATTAGCTAGTTTTCTCCTGTAAAGAAGAGCTTTCTATCATCAGTTGAGGCTGCATTATTGTTCTTCCTAAAAAGGCAGGATGTTATTTTTTTCTCTTTAATTACCAATATTCAAGTAAGAAATTGGCATGAGTCACTTCCAATGGTGACAAAGAGGTTTTTTCCCCTTTCTATAATTTCATTTTTTTAGTATCACTATAATGGTTTTGTATTCATTGTTTTATAATTCAACCATGGCCATTATTTTTGATGGTCAAATTTTCCCAAGTCAGCCATTTCTCCAAGATACTCTGGTTCCTTTTTGTAGGTGGTGATATGTAGGAGCCACAATCTGATGCATAGCCACTGGACTAGATTTTAGTGGATTTCAAGCTTTATTTAAAACCATGGAATCATCATGCAAATGAAATCTGTATCAGAAGCTCACAATGTAAAATAAAGTTCTATGCTTTCCAGTTCCATTGCTGTGGATTCTAGTTTGAGGTTTCAAACTAGAATCCTACCCACAGGGCCTTGGAGTCTCCTGTCATACTTCTCATTATGTACTTCCTTCCACACTGTCTGCCCATGCAGAAGCCTTGTCCAGGAAGGAGATCACCCAGTAGGCACTATCAACAAC